AAATATCTACATCAACTATCTTCTCCTGAAGAGTTATTTTTTACACTATCTACTATATGTGAATATTAGAACAATTTAAGGCTGTGTCAAGCAAATTGACTTTTGGACGCAACACAAATATTTATGTATAGAAGATGAGAGAAGGAAATGCACAATAACTGTATTGTAGAATAAGCTAGAGAAAAATAGTTATATATCGCTAAATGCATTAAATGTGCTTTACGATACTAAATGAATTTCGCCTAGTCTTGTCTCCCAGAAGGTCTTCTCGTACAGGGTAGGCCGCATTTCCTGCCTTCCTTGGTCGTTTGTCAGCATCCCTCAACGGGCCTTGAGATCAGGTCGTACGGACAATGTGACGACATAATTCCACTCCGCCACAACATTATGGGCGTCAGTATTGGAAAGCCATTTTGACCCTTAACGTAGGCCAGACCTTTCCCAAATCTCATATCATACTTTTAGCCGGTTTTAATATCAATAACGCCTCATTTCACCCTGGACGAGAATAAGTTTCGGGATTAAGAGATAAATGCAAATCAATTGAACCTTGAATTCTACACATTTAATTCTGGATACTTAAATACCAGTCCTTACCTCGCTAAAAGCGACCAAAGATTGCTAAGTTCTCATTCATGCATAACTGATAGTCTCAAAATTCACCCAAAAAGAGCATATGGAGGAAGTGATTCTGGCTTGTTAATTTAGTGAAATGAGGGCCATGAAAAAGATGTCAACTGATTCGACAAATGGAAAAATTCTTATCGAACTTACTTGCACGTTTTGGTTCAAATTCAGAATGAAGTTAAGTGTTAAAACTTAATGACTTTCGCCCCCCCCCCTATAAGCGAAATTCTCCAATATTCTTCTCCCAAACCCCTAAAATCACGTGGTTTATTTATTTCGCATCAATTTTCAAGATTCACTTTCTTGTATATGTGATGTATTCACCCTATTTCGTTTAAGCTGATGATGGACTGATAGTAGAATTTTTCACAATTATATGGGTAGAACTGACATTTCCATTGAATTTCACATAGCCTTGTTTTCCCAAATGTTGTTTTCATCCAGCCTGAGGTGAGCTACAGTTTCGAGCTTGCATCGATCTTATCAGTAGCCCCAGCGAGAGTCGAACCGTAACAGTGCAGCATATGAGCTTGACACGTTAACCACTCAGACACATCGCCACGAGTGCTATTGGCTCATTAGGGAAGATGTGCATTTCAAGGAAAGCCAGGCCTTTTCCCATATCACATTCTTTGGTTGGAATGCTTGTCCTGGCTATGATCTATTTAATTATATGAACCAACTGACAATTATAAACGATCTGAGAATGCTGCCAAATATTGCCTTGTCAACGAGCTATCGCATCAAGCACACTGCCTTGTTCTATACAAACAAGTGAACAGCTGGACAAGTTGGTAAGTCGTAAGAGGTTGCTGAGACCACTTAAAATGGTGCCTTAGCACATTAGCACCAGTTCTTACTTGATTCGTTCTACAGCATGTTATGCTAAGGGGATTCCCAGTCAACATGTTTCACTCTAATTCCGTCATATTTAGACTTTAACTAAAGGGCTTGTGTGCCAAAGTGCTTGAGCAACACCAGACTATAATTAAGCCCTACTTTCTTTACTTTTCAACAAACTTAATTTCTGAATATTAGAGAGATCTAAAAATTCTAGATTTTACAGACTATTGCCTAGATCCGCCATTTGACCTAGTTTAGCATAGACGCCCAGAAGCATCAAGGCACATACGTACGTATACAGTTTCGCTTTCTTAGTTGTGTATTTATTTATTACCTTTAGTATCAATACAGACGCCTAAACATACTTGCAAGCATGAGGGATGCCTTAGAAAGACATGATTATCTGCCTGTTTATCATTCCACATGTCATCCAGTCTCCGACCAATCCGAAGGCCACTAAGAGTCGACCAGTATGCATAAACGATAGAATGTCCAAATATAACCAAGCCTTTACTTCCGAGCTCTCACTGATTTGGCGTTTCTTTCAAAGAGCAGACATAACGGAACCCGTCTCCAGTAAAGAAGTCCCCAAGTGAGAAAAATCTGACCCGAGTAGTCGAGCATGCTTTTGGAAAACAGCCACTTCAGGCCACGTGGGGTACTCGAATGGCGCAAGGCCGGCATTGAGCTTTCTACGAGCTCAGATGAGGCTGCCAAGCTGCTCGACTGCCTGTTCTACCAGTTGTACAGCTTCAGCTCAGACGTCAGCCTTGGCGGACTGAAGGGAACCATGCTTCGAATGCGAAATGCCGACCCAGATTTCATACTCCCGCAGCTTTTTCAATACAAATTGCGTATAAAGGGGCCTTCAATACACCATGAGCCGTTCAAAGTCGGCCTGAAAGACTTTAAATCAGCGCTTGCCCAACAGACAGCCTGTAGGTTCCACAGTACTTTTATCTCTCGTATTTTCTCGCCTTTGTCTCGCTTGGCTCTAGTTTCCTGTTGAATTGAGGCAGGTATTCAATGCTAAATAAATAGCTCAGATACTCTAACATAATGTAAAACGGCTTGCTTTTTAGCATCGAGTGTATTTTTATGGTGAAAAACTATTCCTCCAGAATCTGGGCCTAATCCGGTTTAAATAATATTTTATATAGTGAATTGAAAACTTTCACCTCGATCAACGAAAACCTGACTATTATTTTTACGTTAAACCTGAATGTAGATAGAGGTTGTTTGAC